TAAATACTTATTGTAAATTAACGACGCCATAGCGAAAGAATGTGATAATGTTTGAAAGGTTAATGACCTTTCAAACTTCAAACTGAGATACCAACTATGTAAAGTAAAATTCGACCAAATTAAATATAAGGTATAAAATTAATTTGTTTTATGAAATGTTTGCAAAATAGATAAAATAGCATAAAGAACTCATGTCGTAAGACCTTTTGTCGCACTTGTCCATTATAAAACTCGCTCCTTCGTCGCTCGTTTTATAAATTGTCCGCGTGCGACAAAATGACGTCTTATGACATTAGTTCTTTAATATACTATTAAAAAGACATGTATATGGATTTATCTGGTTTCTGTTCTATATGTATTTCCAGATAGGTTTCCCTATCTGGTTCTATAGTGTTTTAGAGTGTTTTGATCTGGTTCTATAATGTAATCTTCTATCTGGTTCTATAGTGAAATGCCTGTTTCAAATACCTATATTAAACCAGATAGAAACCATATACGTGTTTTTATATGGTTCTATATGGCATTTTCAATAGGGTAGTAAGTAGGTAGTTGTAAATTAAAAACTTACCCTTGGTAGTTATGGGTCGAAACTGTTTATTAACTATAGGATCTTTATTCATCATGGACATATTAAACTGAAATTCTATTCCGAAATGATCAGAGAGATGGGTGTTTAATGATTTTACTATTTGAATGTCCGGGAAAAGGAGGTCAATCCGTTAACCATATATTCCTTGAGTTAAAACAATAAGACTTTCATAATACCATTTTTCAATTTAGAGCTTCATGTTCGATATACAGGGCAACAAAGTTTGAAATTTAAAACTGATTTTTTTTAATAATTCGAGTAATTGATAAGATATTAAGTTTAAATTCGGTACACTACTTCAACATAAATAGTTACATTTTTGGAGACCAACAAAACAAAAAACAATTGTCAAATAATCAAAATAGGGGGGTCCAGTACTCACTGACTCCCCCTATTTTTTAGTACGTGCGCCAATGACTTGCAAACGGTATTTTTTCAGGTAATCATTTATTGTTGAACATTTTTTGTATCTTATAAAATTTTGATAAAATGATTTGTTTTAGAGATAATTTGTAAAGTATGGGTCAGTCCATATCAAATCAACCAAAGGTTCTTCCCCCACCATCTTCGATTTTGATAATTTTTGGTAAATTTGTTTACCTCACTAAAAAACTCAAAAATCCCATATATGAATTTTTTTCGATAGGTGGCTTTTGTTTTATTGATTTTTGAAAATCAAAAAATTCCGATAAATTTGGGTCTTGCAAGTACTTACAAAAATAGCGATATCTCGTAAACTATTAAAAGTAGAAAGGTGAGTTGTGGCTTATTTTAAAGGCCTATTAGAGACCTTTTTTATGATATATCACATGCCCTAATTTTTTTCAAAAAAAAATTAAATTTTGAAAATTTGATATGGACTGACCCATACTTTACAAATTATCTCTAAAACAAATCATTTTATCAAAATTTTATAAGATACAAAAAATGTTCAACAATAAATGATTACCTGAAAAAATACCGTTTGCAAGTCATTGGCGCACGTACTAAAAAATAGGGGGAGTCAGTGAGTACTGGACCCCCCTATTTTGTTTATTTGACAATTGTTTTTTGTTTTGTTGGTCTCCAAAAATGTAACTATTTATGTTGAAGTAGTGCACCGAATTTAAACTTAATATCTTATCAATTACTCGAATTATTAAAAAAAATCAGTTTTAAATTTCAAACTTTGTCGCCCTGTATATCGAACATGAAGCTCTAAATTGAAAAATGGTATTATGAAAGTCTTATTGTTTTAACTCAAGGAATATATGGTAAACGGATTGACCTCCTTTTCCCGGACACCCTGTATTAGTAAAGATGTTATCAATAGTATTAGATCCTCTGGATCCTATATAGTGTTTAGCGTTGTAGGGCAGAATGTGGGTCAACTTTACCTTTTTCGGAAATAGATATTATAATTTTAATGGGAATATTAAAACTTTTCTAAATCTTCAAAATCTTTAAAATTTCCGAATGGCCAAAAATTTTAATATTTTTAAAATTTTCAAAATTTAAAAAAAATACCCTTGCGTGTACCTTTCGTCACTAGTGCGATAAAATCTTTCTTATAATATAATATACTATCATAACACGATTGTTCATTTAGGGTAATAATTGTTTTTATCTACTATTATAGTTCTTTACTCACAGAATGATAATTTTATATCTTTTATAAATTTTCGAATTTTATAAAACAGCTTTTTTGTGGAACGTTTAAATCTCTACTATAATATATAATAATAATAATATTTCCATTATTTTTGTTTATTTTTATAATTAAAAAAATATCGTAAATCATTTTTTCTCAAAAAAAAAAAATTTGCCACTTAACAGCTTTTTTCCTCGAGGTCTTTAATTATAATATTTATATTATGCAACATGTTCAAATTTAATGTTATTTAAAACAGTTCTTAGTAATCTTAATAAATACTTGAATAATTTATATATGTTTAGTATTTGCCGAATAAATTTTTTTGTGATAAGCAATTACAAGTTTTGGATTTTTTTTCAATATTAATTATAATTTTCCTTAAGTAAAAACCTTGTACACCTTGTAGTTTTGGAGCATAGTGCATCCCGTGGGATTTTTTGTGAAGGGAGGATTAAACTATCTGAAATCAGTTTTTTATACACAAGGCAGTAGTGCAATATCAGGTTTTTTGTTTAAAAATGTGTCAATTCAACCTAACTGTTATTTAAGGTATGCGTTTAAAAAATGTCGCCTAATTTCGTAATTAGTGGTCCTATTAAAAAAAATTATTAAATCTCAAATGGTTAAGAAAATATTGGCTTTTAAAACTGACATATTATTACATTTTGCATGGATCAATTTGGAGCCATTTTGCAAGAAATTTGAAGTTTTATGAGCTGTAACTCAGCTATTTTTGATTCGATTAAAACGATGTTTTTACCGTTGGATGCAAAATTTAACCACCTTTCAAATCATATGGATATATCGTATTTGCCATACCCTCTCTAATAGAGAGTCTCTATGCTGATTTAATTAAAATCTTAAATTAAAAATATATATACCGTCATCTAGGTGAATGGCCCAAATAAGATAAAAAATGATTAAGTTTTTTGTGTTTAGCGCACCAAAATCACCCTAAAAATTTAAAATAAAGTTTATATTTTTCCTTGTAAAACAGTGTAATAAATTATAATTAACAGGAAATGGAAATAAAATAGGTAATAGTAAATATTTAAAAAAAAACTGTTAAAATTAAGTATTTAGAAATAAAACATGCTATTAAATTTAATAAAATACAATATAAAATCAAATTTAAACACAAAAACATACCTTAAATTAAGAAAAACCGCAAAAAAGTAATCGTAAAATACTTTTGACAGTTCTATGCACAGAACATAAGTAAACATAAATTGATAAAGTCAAGGCACACTTAATTTATAAGCAACCAACGAAACTACTTAAATTTGCTAAAACAGTTTTATTTAAAAAAAGTCACTGTTGCTAGAGGCTAAAAAAATTGATGGGCCATAAAATTATACAATTCTTTCGATACACGGTCATATGACAATCAAAAAATGTCAAATGTAATTTATTTCAAAGGGCAAAATAAAATTAATTATTTGGCCACCAGACATATTTTTAAGGTAAACACCCGGTACCACAAAACTCAAAAAGGTATAAAAAAGCTATCCCATATAGTTCCATCCAGAGTTAAGAGTACTGAGTATTTTTTTTAATGGATTATGCTATCATTACTAATTATTACTTGATTTTATAATTGTAATGAGAGAAAAATATTGAGTACTTTTTATTTTTACTTTACCAATTTGATAATTACAATTCTTTTTTTATTTTGTAATTATAATCAGAGAAAATATCAAGTACTTTTTATTTTAACTTAAAATGTTTACTGATTCTAAATATTTTTTTATTTTATTTGATAATTTGATAATTACAATTTTTTTTTTATTTTCTAATTATAATCAGAGAAAATATCAAGTACTTTTTATTTTCACTTAAAATGTTTACTGATTCTAAATATTTTTTTATTTTATAATTAAAAAATAATAAAGAACAGAATACATTATATATATTTTTTTTGATTTGATTAGAATGGTGAATAAGGATACTTCCGTGCTTGTTTATGTTTTTATTGCGACTAGTTTCGATCTATATTAGATCATCTTCAGGCAAACTACAAAAATATGTAAAATTATTATAAGGTTATGTTAACATAATAATGATAAAATTAACGCCGTGTCTAGAGTCCCGTCAGACGGTTCCCTATTGCGCTCCCGTTAACAGAGTGACGTCATCCAATGACGCAATCTTAGGACGGGAAGCAGATATTTTTTCCTTAACTAACTTCCCGAGTCCGCCCGCTTCGAAACCAACCCAAACCAAACAACCCAACCCAACCGACCCCGTATATACAGTATTTATAATTATTACTTAAATTTTGTTTTTTATTTTCAGTCGGTCCCGTTAAAAAATACTTCGTACTTATATTTTCATTTATATTTTAAGTACAATCAATTTTTTACTTTGACTTTAAACTTTTTGCATTACGAAGTACTAAAAAATATTATTTATTCAAATTAATAAGTACAATTATTTTTGTATTTTTACTTTAAATCAATTTAGAGTAAAAAATACAATGTATTTATAATTTTTATTTTCTCCATTCTCAAGTAACTTAAATATTCTAATGGCAATACTTTTTAAGTAGGTACAAATTATTTTTGTATTTTTACTTTAAATCAATTTAGAGTAAAAAATACAATGTATTGATAATTTTTATTTTCTCCATTCTCAAGTAACTTAAATATTCTAATGGCAATACTTTTTAAGTACAAATCTCGCAACTCTGGTTCCATCATCCCTTCATAACAAATCCCACGGAGAATATTTTATTGCTTTATGCTTCAGGACTATTGGTCCCACAATCATATCCCTTACCTGCAGATTCAACGCACTCCTGTCCACCGTGCCAGTGTAGGCGAACTGCAGGCACTGCTGCATGGCGCCTGGCGTCACCAGTTTGCTGAGCGTGACCACCGTCTGTCCCTCGGGCTGCACGCTCCTGATGCACTGGAACGCTGGATGGTCGAGCTCGCGCGCGGTGGGCAATGCCTGGCAGCTTGCGCGTCGCTTGCACGTCTTCTGCTCAGCACGCACCAGGCACTCGGTCTCGTCGGCGAAGTCGCCCAGCGAGCTCACCATGCTCGAGTCGCTGGTGCTGCGCGCTAGCAAGTCGGCGGTCAACAGTCTGAAAGAAATAATTATATTAGTTATCTAGCAAGCTAAAACACAGATATAGTATATTATGTATCAAGTTTGATAAACGCCATTTTAGTCACGAATTTAATTTAGGTACGAGTAAGCTTGAGAGCGAGTGCTTAATTAAATGCCTAGAACGAGTATAAACGAGTAGCATACTAAAGAAATACTTCATATTATCTAAAAAATAATTTAAATTACATATTTGTCCAAAGCAACATATATACGAAAATAAAGTATCCATCCCAAAAACATTTTTGAAGTAATTTTCATCATTAGCATTGCCCGTCATTTTTTAATTAAACTATTATTAATACTTTAAAATATTAAAATAACTTTAAAATTTGATTATCTTAAGAAAATATTTTATCCTTTGATTTTTTTATTACTATAATTGAAATTGAAATAATAAGGTACAAAAAGTGACAGTTGTATTTATAGGAATTCCCGTTAGAATTTTTAACTTGGGAATCTACCGGCGTTAAAATCTCAAATTTTTCTGTGTAAATTAAAAAATCAAAGGATAAAATATTTTACACTGTAAATCAAAATTTATCCCTTGAAAATAGACTAAGAGAATGTTTTATGGGCAATGTACCCAACGCTTTATCAGTTAAATCTAGTACTACTACGGCGAAATCAAAAGGTCAGTACAAACTACAAACTTTCATATAATCGTCAAGAAACTATTTATTACTTTTGTATTTTTGTATTGAGATAATAAAATAATTTTCTCATTTAGTATTATTTTACAAGAAAGGCACTTTATTTTAACGATTGTATGACATTTGACAACTGTCAACTAACTTAAAACTAAGTTCAGTCCGTGACTAAAAACCTGTTGCTAACTTCAGCCCGTGACTAAAGCGCCATAAAACCACAACTTGTGTATTTCGAAGGTCGAAGTAGAAAAAGAATATTTAAGTATCAATATCTTATAACGCTTGCTATAAAATAAAATTTTATAATTATATTATATTCCTAATTAAATTTAGAATTATTAGTAGTAGTAGTAGTACGGTTGGGTAGGCTCGAAGCCTGACAATTAGACTCCATGGTCCTTTTTATCTGCCCCTCCTAAACCAACCAGACTACTCCTCATCTTCCTCTTCGCCCATGCCAGCCCTTTCGAATCTTCCAGACCTTCTTATAAAGGTCAGGATATCCTGCCAGGCAAGAGAGGCCAACTCTTCCCTTTGGAGTGTCATCACTCCAAAGATTTTATACCTTAGTCTGCCGAGGGCCTCACATTGTCCCAGGAAGTGAAAGGAGGTTTCATCCTCCCTTCCGCACTGGGTACAGGAGGAATTATTAAATATATTTTTGTATTGTGAGAAACTAGCCAATCACTTTGATCAGCCAGTGTGTCAGATATATCCACCCCTTCTCTGCTGTCCATGACTTTTGGTATATTCTATATACAGGGTGATTCACCTAACTAATTCATTCGAAGTATATAGGGAACTAAAAGAGACATCAACCTGTTTATATTGTTTATTTTTATGATGTTGCAGATGCTTTACGTAAATATACGAGGTGTGTTTAGAAAATATCGGGAATTTTAGTTTTTTGAAACAAATATTTATTTATTCGTCTACATTAATGTTGTCCCCTTTAAAATAGTCCCCATTGGATATTATGCACATGTGCCAGCTCTTCTTCCAATACTCGAAACACTTCTAAAACTCGATCTTTGGGATAGCCTTTAGTTCTTTCAGCGATGCGCTTTTAATCTCATCTATGCTTGCAAAACGACGGCCCTTTAAGGTTCTCTTTATTTTTGGGAATAAGAAAAAAACCCCTGTGGGGCACGTGTTCCCTTTGACCGAATGACCTAAAATTTTGCAGGAATTTTTTTTTTATGATTTGGAACCGATTTGGGGGGCGGCTCTGTTAAATTTTTTCCGACCCCTAAATAAGGAACACCCTAATATATATATATATATTTAATATTTGAGGTTATGCATCTGTCAATTTAACGCAAATGTTGTCTTATTTTCTAAAAATAATATAATATACGTATTTTTGTACAAACTTCTTAGTTTGACGAAATTGTTATTAAACTGATAGTTACATAACATCAGTTATTAAAAAAAAAAGCTTATTAATGAAGTATATTAAAAAAAACATAACCCCATCGTAAAAATTACATATATTGTCTTACTCTTAGCTTTCAGAAAAACTTATCTAATTTGAAATAAAAATTTCCGCAAAGCTAGTTAAATCACATTTTTCACTTTCATTAAATTTTTAAGGCTTTTTTGTTACTTACTTATAATAAAGAATGAATATTTTAAAACATTATTTACATCCAAAAAAATTAATGTAATAAACTGCGCACCACTCAATGTGTCGCGACCAAAAATTTCGTCCTTTTTCAAAACGACATAACTTTTTTGTTTCTTGAACGATTTTATTTTGGTCTGTGAGCCCCATCCTCTGGCAATTTATGATATAGATATGAAGCCCAAGGTTCTTCAATAAAATTTCCTACAGGGTGATATGTAAATATTTTTTCTCGTTTTAACTTTAAATTAATAAAGTATTATGTCTTACCTTGGAAAGGTTTTAAAATTTTTCGAATTGAAATCTTAGCAACGAAAATATGATTTTTTTTCCAAAAGAGTACATTTGAGGATTTTTGGTAGGCAATACATTCCTCTTTTTAAGAACAAGAAGATATATATACAGCAGTTTTTGTGGTTGGAACCTAAGAATAATACAAAGATAATTATCATGATTATAATCATTTAAGAATATCCCGGCGCATTCGCCATTTTTGCAAATTAGAATAATATTACATACGTTTTTCTGCCGACTAGTCGAGACTCGGCAGTATGATAAAATTGTTATTATTATTATTTTTATTATTATTATTAATTTGCTTCCAACAGTCACCAGGCCTAACTACAGAAGTACACACTGACAAACACAAATAAACAGCCATTTATTTTACTGTTTTGAGAATATATATTTAAATAAAATGAGGCTAGTTTATCGGTTCGACGTTGTCCCGATGTAAAAATGCGATAATCGGTTGCCGCTAACCGGCCAACAGACGATTGCAGTAATTACTAATTATTATTAATTATTAGATATCTAATAAACCAAATTAAAACCTATAAAAAAAGTTTTACTCCCAGGAGAATACATAAAGAACGTGTTAAATAATACGTATACGTTTAGACAAACAAGCATATCAACATAAATTTATTGTCAACGTTAACCTACACCATTCTCCACAATACACAATCACTTAAAGCGTTTATCTTTACTATGTTATAATCAGCCAATTTCATCTGAAATAAAGGCAAAGATAAAACAATAAAAGATTTTTTATCTGCCTTTTCATGTTGAAAGTATTCATTATGATATCTACAGAAACTTGGTTTAGTAATTTTTACACAAAGGACTTACCAATAAGAACAACTTTAGTTTAGAAATTTAAAAGTACGAAAATAAATCGACATTTATTGGAGATGAAAATGCAAATGGTTTTATTTGAGAGCTTATTTAATGAAAATTATAATTTAAATAAAATATTATTTAGGCTATATACACAGGGTAATTAGTATTCATTAATTATACTTATAATTATTAGCCACTCTGCAGAGTGCAGATATGCCACCAAATTAAGTTTTAAATATTAGCTTCTAAAACATCAAGTGTCGTTAGATTGTTGCTTGTATTAATAATGATATTTTTTATAAATTTAAATAGTGTTTTTTACCTGTAAAATGCTCGACTGCTGGCCGCAAGCACAAATCGATGAGCGGGGAAACCCAGAGATCCCACTATAAGAACGATGTCGGTGTGTGGACGATTCAGCCAAAGTTGTTTCATGTGATCCGTATAAGAACTGCTGGTAACGTGTACATCCGGCTTTAAGGGAGGTGGAGGCTTAAAGGGAGACTAAAAATAAAATAATGTATGTTAATGTCAACTTTTATTTTTAAAATAGTTGGTAGAGTTTTGCCAGTTAGGTCAAACTAAATAACTTTAAATTTTAAACACACAATGAATCGAATACTGAAATCTTTTTTAACTAATCGTTTAAAAAAATAAAAACAGCAAGATTGTTTTTAAAATTAAGGATTTTGTAAGAAATGTTTTTATAATTATTTAATAAAGTTACAAAGAAACTTTCGAAGGCTTTTATAAAAAAAATTAAATCAATAACAATACACAATTTATTTAATTAATTGTTTCGACTTTTACTTGATGAAACTCCATGTTAATATTGTTTTATTTTAATATAAACTACACTGTTTAAAAGTTTCACTATTTTATTTAAATATGACAATTGTTTCGCTACACAGTAGCATCTTCAGATCTGAAGATGCTACTGTGTAGCGAAACAATTGTCATATTTAAATAAAATAGTGAAACTTTTAAACAGTGTAGTTTATATTAAAATAAAACAATATACACAATTTATTATTTACAAAATAAAATGTTTGGTAAATGCGTATTATATTATATATGTATATTTATTGTATTGTGTTCTCATAGCAATCAAATATTAGTTTGACATAAAATGTATTATGTTTGTGTCATTTTATATAACTTCACAACAAACCTGTAATTTGCTTTTAATAGAGTTTTAATCATGAATAATTAAATAGTCTACTGCAGACATTTTACTAGGAAATTAATTTCTCTTATAAACCACTTAGAAATTACCTCTTTTCGGTTTTTCGTTTATAACTCGAAAACCATGGGTCCTAGCAATAAAACTATTTTTTACAAAATAAAATGTGAGAAAAAAAAACTAATTCAATTTATTTTTTTGCTATCCTGCAAAGTTTTCGAGATATTTTGCTCAAAATTGGCTAAAAAAAAGTTTGCCCATTTTTTGACCTTCGTCCTACCAAAATGTCATAGGAAAGAGCGTTGTAGAATTTTTTTAAAATTAGATAATTTTGAGCGTGGATATGTCGGAAGCTAATTTAATCTTGTAGAAAATATTGTCAGCTATAATTTTGTATAGAATGGCTTATCGCTAGGACCCACAGTGAGATCCTTTCATTTTCCTCTACAACTTTTTGTTGACTGGGCTAAAAATTTTGCATTACGTTTTCCAATTGCTGGAATGAATAAACGTTAGGTGTATTTGTTTTTGTTTACGACTGTTTAATTTGTTTTTAATTTAATCAGCAGTTTCGTTAAAGTTATAAACTTGCATCGACTTCCTGTTTACTTATAACACACCGAATCGATAGCTTTGGCATTGAAAACATTGTTTTGCGTCGGTCGTTTGACAATTGCAATTACTGGAAGTTGTTGCATCGACACGTGGCCAAACTTCTAAATTAGTTAAGGAAAATCAATCAATTGAGAAACTAATAAAAAATAAATGCTGTCTCGTACAATTTCGTTTTAATTAAAAGGTTATTAAAATGTTCGAATGCATTTGACCAGAAAACTACATACAATTGGGCAATATTTTACCCACAGAAAAAAAAATCGGTTACTTTTTGCATATATCTTGTTTAAACAAAAATCTTATAAAATGAAATGTTAACCATTTTTGACATGTTATTCCAGAAGGCTTAAAAAAATTATTTACTTGTTTCCGTAACAAACTTCATCAAACTGAGTTCAGCAGTTTATGGATTGGTTTAAAGCAGCCATACTCAAACTGCGACCCGCAAGCCTCCAACTCTTTCTTTCCGGCCCGAAGCCTAGCCACAGTAATTTTTAGATAAAGAAAATACCCACATACATCAAACACTTTTTGTAGTCTAGTGAGATAGATAAGGGCAATATTTTTTCTGTAATATGTCGCGATTTATATTGTATGTGAAGCAGCCAAGTACAGTAGTCTTTCCAACTTTGACAAGGCGTTAGACGAGCCCATCTAATACGATTTTGTAAGAAATGGTGGGAATTTAAAGTCGCGGGGCGCGAGTAGATAAACATCCACTAAAAGTCATTTGTTAATTTTCTGTTCGTAAAAAATCCCTGGCACTTACAAACCGTCGCACGTAAGGCAAAATGATGTATTTAGGGAGTCAAAAATATTTATGATGACATGATGATGATGACAGTGTTTTTCTTAGCTACTTTTATTGCTTCCAACTATTTAAGTCGTTTTGGGGTCCAAAGCAATTCTTTTATATAAAGTAAAGTCATAGAAAAATCTCTATGGTAAAGTATACAATATTTTGACTAATTCTAATATCGAAGTAACCGTGCACAAAACAAAATAAAAATAAGTTGCTTTATGTTTATAAATTATATATGCATGTAAAAAATATATATATTTTTTCAAATTTCTAATGCTTACCCACCTTTGACAATATTGCAAATCGTTTTGATAACCTTGTGGGGAATTTCACGCTCTTCGCATTGGTTCACCAGGAGAAGTCGTCAAAGGACAGTTTTTGAAAAAAATCGTTTTTTTATTTTTTCTATTTATTATCATTATATTTCCCTACACTAAGAACTTTTTTAAAATTATTATGTTTTCTCACTCATAATGAATATATATATATATATAATATATATATATATATTTGTATTATAATTATAATAACTATATTATTATTTACTATCACCATCGCTATTTCTATCGATTGCGTTATTCGCCTCATTATCGCCGAAATATGTGGGCATTACGAGTAAGCCTAGTTTGTCATAAAATAAATCTGTCAATTTCTTTTTTTCTTCTTGACTCTCTTCTGCTTCTTTGCCTCTTGCTTGCCTTTCCTGTGTTTCAATTTTATATGAAATATCTAACAGGAATTCAAAACATCTTAAATAAGCATGCAAAATCGATATTTCATATTTATAAGCTAAGGTATCACAAGACCGTGTTGATACTTTTTCTAAATTATTAAAATCTTTTGAAGTGACTTTACAAAATTTGTTTGTATTTAATAATACTCTCTTAAAATGAAATAGTCAATATTCTACTATTTAAATTAGTACCAGCATGTTTACATAATAAAATATCCGTTTTCACTTTTAAATAGTTATTTTTTACTAGGTACTTAAATAGCTCAATTAAGCTTTAAAACAGCAACACAAAAAATATATTTAACTTTAAAATATTTGGTGCGTTCTTTTCACCTGAGATCTCAGTTAATCTCATCTTACATCGGTAAAATTTGCAAATGTGCGCGTTCTTTTTGCTTCACTCACCATAAAGTGAGCTGAGATTTTTCCTCCCCCCTCACCGATACTGCACATGCTGTGCGGGGGAATCAGTTTGAATTAAGTCGGAAATAAAGTGGAGGGGATAACTTTTACAATATAATTGAACAAAGAAAGTAAAAGTGAAGATTTTTTAAATTTTATTTTATATCATAAAATTATTATTTTTTAGGAAAAAATTATTTTTTGCATTAATTAATTATTTATTTTTGTAAATTGACTATAAACGTAATATAATAAATAAAATTCGATTAAAATTGTTTTTTAATAATTTTTATTATAATTAATATTCTTATCAAAAAATTGTTGTTTTCGTTTGCCACCTAATTATGGAAAGAATAAGTATTATAGATCGGGAAACGTCTTTATGAGCAATATTTATAGACAAATAAAATTGATTTTTATGAAAGTGACTGATGCCTCAATTGTTATGACATAGGCTTCACAAGCTTGACAGACCCGAGTTCAAACCCCGGCAGGGTCAGAACTTTTTTTAAATTTAAATTAACTAATTTGACTACTGCTTTTAGTAGAATTTGACTAATTATTAGTGACTGCTTTTTTGCCATGACAATTAGTCAAATATGACTTATAATTAGTTATTTTTGACTAATTCATTTTAAGAGAGTACATGTCTGGGTTGATGAAGTGCATACGTTACAGGTCTTGCCATTCATCATGGAGCATATTGTAATGTGGTTGAATCGAATATTTTTCTGCGCATTCAAACAAATACACTCACAGGCAAAATAATCGATCCACACAAATTTTCGATGAATTTCAATCGCAAATAACTTTTTTATTTGATTTCAAATTTAAACAAATATTAAAGAATATTGTAAATACATTAATGGAGAATCGCTCACATTTAAAAAAATACACGTACGTTTATAATATACAGGTTTAAACAAAAAGATGTTTTTTACCATAAGTTTAAGACACTCTGTAGAGTGGCAAAACCGTATATTGTTCTAAATTAAGTTTTAATTATCAAGTCACATATATTTTTAACAGTTTTGTTTTTGGTTCACCTTGATATATTTATTTTTGTGGAAAATATGGATTTTTTTTTTAAAACATTGCAATTTCCAATATTTTTCCTGTATGAAGAACTAAGGTTGCTATGGTCCATCCATAGCCTACGGAGGATGACAGTGACAGTTTTGTTGAATCATCCCATACTTGGACATGTCATATACAGCTTTCAAAAGCTATCAAATTGTATTTTGTAAACTTAGAACAATATACGGTTTTGCCACTCTACAGAGTGTTTTAAACTTATGGTAAAAAACATCTTTTTGTTTAAACTTGTATATTATAAACGTACGTCTATTTTTTAGTAATTTCAAATGTGAGCGATTGTCCATTAATTTATCTACAATATTTTTTAATATTCGTTTAAATCCGACATAAAATAAAAAAGTTATTTGCGATTGAAATTCATCGAAAATTTGTGTGGATCGATTATTTTGCCTGTAAGTGTAGTTGTAGGTGAAATAGCTTGTAGATGCTGCTGAATCATAGCATGTTCTTGTTTAGTTGTTGCATTTATTTCTTTGACTAAGTTAAAGCGAAAAGTGCGACACCACCTAGTTGATGTTGATTTTTTCATCATAAAATATAGATATTTTTAAGGAAACAATGGTACAATGGTAAAATAATGTTAGAGTCTGAGTATCTCGGTTTGTTTGCAAAGTGTTGTTTAAAAATGCTGTGCCCTCCGCTGCCATCAAGACCCCATTTGTAAAAAACGTCAACGACATACACTTTTGCAGGAAGATGCAGGGCAATAACCTCGTACTGGACTTTGAAAAGTCTTTCAATAGCATGATCCAATAAACTTTGTAGGGAAATTCTTGCTTTTCCGGATAGCAAGATTTCTTTATTTACGAAATAACATTGTAAACAGGGTATAGATCACATCCTCTAGCTTTTGCACCCCGTTGTACTTTTATGTAGTCTTCCTTGGTCATACTCGTATCAACAATTAAAGCTAGCGCTTCTTCGGCACTGTACGAGTTTAACGTATTCATGGAATCTTTTGCTTGTTACATACGTTTCAAGCTTTTTGGCCAAGCTTCCAAAGCTATTTTACCACTTTTGTCACCTTGCGCTTTCCAGACCTTACCAAACAGGATTCAGTTGCGAAAGACAGTTGTTCTGGGGAAATATTCTTAACAAGCGTCTGCACATTTCTTTGTTTAGAACGCTGTGACATTGTTTTAAACTCTTTTTTTGGTCTACCTTCTATACGTTTTTGTGGAGTAAACTGAAGAGCTTGCTTTAAGTGTGGAAGTTTGAACTAGACGTTTAACCAGTCCTTGTGGTTTTTAATAAGTCGGTCGTTAATCCGATGACAGTTTTTATTTTCACAAATAACAACGTTTTAATTGATTTTACAGACTTTTAGTTCAAGTAGCAGTATTTAATCCGCTCAAAATGTATTTATATAATCGTTCATAACACTTTATTGGCGAATACTTGTAAAAACGTTATTTTTTTAAACTAAATATAGTTCTTCTCTTGTGATACACTTTTTAGCTTCCATGAAATCGTCTCGACTACCTGAAAATAAAGACAAAAACACTTAAATGTGCAAGTATGTGGAAAAAAATAGTTTCCACGTAAAACCAATATTCAATATCATTGATTAACCTGGCACTCAAAGCAAAACTTTACAAAACTTTTTTCATAACATTTCATCAAACTCAAAAATAAACTAAACAATGCAAATTTGACTCTGTTTGGATAATTGGATATTTCACTTAGAGAGATTATATTTACATCATTAATATATACGTTAATTTAAAGTACTTACAACATGGTAACACCTATATATTACTAAATTTGGCAAAATACTGGTTGCGCGCACGACTGACTGATAACACGCGAATAATATGACATTTTTTCAACCCTGTCTTGATCCCTTTTACAATTTTGTTGTTGTTTTAAATATTTGCAAAACATTTTTCTAAGTAAATAATAGTATATTTTGTAACAAGTTTGGAATACGGCATATTCCGCTCGAGTGAAAAGTTTGTCACACGAGCCAAAGGCGAGTTTGACGGTTTCACGAGAGCGGAATATGCAATTCCAAACGTGTTTCAGACTATACTTTTTCTACGTTTCCAAAAAATACCATAGAAAAATAATTTAATTGGGAGAATGTGAGGTTGGATCGGTCTAAAATTTATTAGATATTATTATATTATTATTAGTGTTTATTCCGTCCACCAGTGTTTATTCCGTCATCCGATGATTCATTCTGTAATAATTAAAAGAATATATGCCATACTTTAAGGAATATATGTCATTCCACATTATTAGAAAGGTCATATTCCGTAATAGAAGTAGAAAAACGTATATTATTGTATTCGGGTTTTTTTTACTTTTTTCGCCGTAAATACTTCATTTTGCCTTACGTGCGCCGATATCAAACAACTTGCTGAATTGGGATTTAATAACGCAAAGTTATTGAATTAAAAATCGACTCAAATCTGGGCCCAATTTTTAAATGCAGTAGGTCTAGAGACAAACATTTATAGAACAAGTTATAAAGATGGCGAATGCGCCGGGATATGGGTGAATATTTCAAAAGTGTAATTTATTCGGTTCTGGCTTAATATTTCCAAAGTTAATATCCCACTAAAAATAAAATACTTGATGTCTAGTTTATTTAACTATTTTTACTTGATTCCTTACTTATTTTAGTCTAAACTAGCATAGTAAAAAATATATTTTAAATTTTGTGTCGCACGTCATTACCGTGCGCACGCGTGCCTTGTTTACATTCGAAGAACAACAACATATTATTTTTTTACATTTATTTACAAATTAAATCATGCAATATCCCGTCTAACACAGACGGAGAAAATACAAAATAATACAATGCAAGCAAGAAATCGCATTTTAAAATTTTAATTTTTCTTTTAATACCTTTTAAACTTTGTTCACATCCATGAGCGTCATTGCCGTGCCTACTTAAATTATGTCTAATTTCATATTTAAATACGCGAACATCTGATATGTAAATATCCCGCCTGTCTAACGTCCACTAGCATATGTCAAACCATAGAGTTGCGACGTCACATCTAAGTCCGCCATTGTCGGGGTAAGTATTATTTCAAAGTTTATGGACATACAAAATATTTGCATTAATACAAAGGAGTCTTGCATTAACAAAAAGAAAATGGTAACTTGAAAAATCCATTACATTTTCGAATAAACATTGTAAAACATTCTAACTTTAAAATCATCATTACCGTGCTCGTCATTGTCGTGTCTTTACATGTAAACGTAAATGACGAAAAGTATATACAATGATGTTTTTTAATTAAACCAATTTAAAATATTTAACTTCAGTTGGAAATTAATTAAAATGACCAAACCACGAAACAAGGTGACCAACGAGGAAAAGCTTGAAGCTAAAAGACAAGCAGAACGTAAGAGACGCAGAAGAATAAAGCTCGTATTACAGTCTGCAATTTTACTTGCAGCAATTTTTCTTGCATGCAGTTTTATTGCTGACTTTATTCCAACTTGTATGATACCAACCAAAGAAAAACATAAAAATTTATAAAATATTATAAAGTACAATTATTACAGACTGTAATACGGGCTTAAGAGATGACCCAGTAAACCGTGGGTTAAACTTTCTAAAACAACGTTTTTAGTCTTCATGTCTATGTTTATAAGTGGAAAAGTCCTAAAAATGCAAAATAAATAAGATTTGCAATTTTTTATGTGTTAACGAAAATGGTTCCGAAAATCGACAGTTTGCCAATGAAAGAACGGCCTAAAAGGTGTAGACTAGCATTTTAAAAAGGTTTACCTGCAGAAGAGGTCTCTGTACCCTTTTGAGGTTCGTCATCCAGAAGCGCTGCTGCCTGCGCGCAATCAACGCCACCCGTATCGCGTTCTCGAACACTTCGTTAACTCCGTAGTAGGTAAGTACCGAGGTTTCGTAGTAGTAGAGTCCGAGCTCGCGCGCGACGTCCCTTGCCTCGTCCGGCATGACGAGGTCGCTCTTGCGGGTGGCGCGCACGAACGGCGACCGGTCGCGGAAGTAGCTCAGGTAGGCCTCGTCGCGGTACATGTAGCGCAGGTCGTTTTTGCACCCGACCAGCAGCACTGGCGTGGACGGGCAGAAGCGTCGGATCTCCGGGAACCACATCAGACGGCAGTTGCGCAGCGATATCGGATTGTTCACACTGAAGCACAACAGCACCTACACAAGAGCAAAATAACAAATTAATAGTTGTAGGTAGGGTTGGGAAAATTTCACTTTTTGCTTGTATCTACTTGAAATTTCACTTGAAATTTTCATGACATTTATGAAATTTATTAAAATTTCCTAAATTTATGAAATTTCATGAAATTTATGAAATTTATTGAAACTTTCAATATCACTTTAAGTGTAATATATTAATATTGAAATAAGCCCACTCGGGGACCATGGCAAATTGCCTCTCTTACCTCCTACCCCTCTGTGGGCCCCTGAACCAATAATATAAATAGTAAATACCTATGTTTACCACAAATTTCTTGAGATTTCCTTTTAAAATATTTTTAAAATTACTAAAACTAAAAGAGATATAGCACTTTTTGGTAAGCTAATGAGATTGTGCCACTTTCATTGTTTTATATTTATATATATATTTATTATTTTTAAATATTTTACTGAAATTTTACGAAAATTGAAGAAACTTTACCAAAACTTTATGAGCCAAAGGCATTTTTTATCTGTTTTCCGATGCAATTATAGCAAAAGTAAAAGTTTAAATTAATCATGACTTTAAAAAAAAATTAAAGTCTGATTTAATTTACAAATTGCATTGGTAACTGAATTAAATTATTTAAATTAATTTATGCTTATTATTATTTATGCATATAAGTAACAATAATTACTTATAGTGTATTCAAATCCAAGCCGAACTAAACAAAAACGCCCAGACGCTTGATAACTCGTTCTTATTGGTCGATTCGGAATCTGTTAACAATTGTAAATTATTATTAAAGGTCTCAGGGGAGGCCGCATGTGAAATTTATGCGAAATTTTCAGTAAATTGCGAAACTTTTAATGAAATTTCCGAAACTTTCACAGGCAATGTTGAAATATTCGGATTGAAAATTTCATTTGAAATTTTTAAAAATTTTACTTTTCCAACTAAATGAAATATTTCAAGTTTGAAACTTTCAAAGTTGAAATTTTCATTTGAAAATTTCAACTGTCCCAACCCTAGTTGTAGGCATAAAAACTAGGGAATGCAATCTTGGTATACGGCCATTCCACGCTTAACGGATGGGACAGTTGCTAGTTTTTATTTACAAAATATCATTGTTCTATTATATTACTAATATCAATATCAATATCAAATTTTTATAAAAAGTTTTAAACAAAAGCTGTTTAACAAGGTTTTTATTTGGAAAAATTAGGTAGGTATCGTGGTTGACTGTTTAATTCCTTAAAAATTATTTTTTTTTATCCAAAAAGACTACTAGTACTGTTTTTGAATAAAAAAAAATTAATTTTTAAGGAATTAAACAGACAACCACGATACCTAATTTTTCCAAATAAAAACCTTTTTAAAAACTTTTGTTTAGAACTATTTATAAAAATTTGACATTAGTAATATAATAGAACAATATTATTTTGTAAATAAAAACTTGCAACTGTCCCATCCGTTACGCGTGGAATGGCGGTATAGCAAGATTTAAAAAAAAAATTAGTATAATTATTTGTATTACAACTTTGTTAGGTTATATCGTAAAGGCAAAATATTGAAATAAAACATAAATTAAATAATTTAAGACTATTCCACTCATTACTTTATGGACCAATCAGATTTCAGAAAACTAGTATTTTTTTCAGTGTTGCAGCGATATAACTACTACCGTAAACACGGGTGGCTTTAGCTCACTTTCAAACTTAAGCTTAAAATTTTTGTGGTTTTAACAATCATAAACATTAAATTTTGTATACCAAAATTTGAGTCTTGAGTTGCTCTTTCATAATAACTATGTTATAATATTACATAGGGCTGACTTTCAAAAATAAAAATTAAAAACTGGTTGTGCAAAGTTACCCCCTGGTTGCGGGTAACTTTGTCTCACAGTGTATTTTCCGTATAAAATTAACTCAATATTTTATTTTATTTTTATTAGACATATGTTAACAGCGACATATAGCAATTGCAAGGGGTTACCGCTAAAAACAATAAAAAAATCGACCTGTAGTTAACCAAGGATCATCATTCCAAAGAATTGCGCATAATATAGAAATTGAAACGCATGTATTTTTAAGAGTTTTGCACTGATGCGATATATACAATTTTAAAGTGTAATAAATCCCATTTCTTTCTTTAAAACACTGATTTTCCTGTAATATAAATTCAATAGAATCGCTCAATTGACAGGTTTAGATCAACAAATTATAAATGTTAATTTTATCGAGCGCGAAAAGATTTTTTATAAAAGGGTTAGTCACCCGCGGGGTGCAAAGTCACCCGTGTTTACGGTACCTACCTATTTAGGTAAAATAATCACCGTTTATAAAATAATTGTCAATGTTGACGTTTCTAATTTTAAAATAAAAATGTCAAAAAAATCAAGCAGAATTTGAATCGGCAGTTAATTCTAATTAAAAAAAAATATTCGTGAAATAGTCTTGCCGAATACCACTCGTAATAAAATATCCCAGGAAAAAATTTTTGATTTTTATTTAATCAAGATTTTTCCTTGGAAATTTCGCTCGTGGCATTAATTTAAAACCACTCGCCTAGAGCCTCGTGGTCTTAAGAATGTATGCCACTTGCAAAATTTCCAAGAAAAAAACATTCGTATTTATATATAAAAATTAAACATTTTATCGGTAAAATTTTACCACTAGTCGTATATAATATTATATACGAATAATCATCAAGCTATTGAAGCAAAAAACATAAACAATACAGAAATTATTTATTGAAAAAACTATATATTTATATATGTATACATTATTTTTAAAATAACTTCTCAAAAAACAAATCTTGCGAGATCGCGCATGATTTTCGTGCAAGACTAATCTTGCAGATTTAGTGCGAGATCTTGGAATACCAAGATTGCATTTCCTAATAAAAACCTACAAATGTATAAATTAAAAATAAACCATTATAAAACTATAAAAGTCTTGTAAATTATATATTTAAAATTATAAATATAAAATCACGCAATCAAAAGTTAAACTAATAAAAATCCTTTACACATTTTTTAATAAAAAGAGCATAAATTAAATTGTATTTGGATTGATCATAACAACCCCTGCGCCCATTAAATTGCGCTTTAAATGAACATATTTTTAAATAACTTGTCATAATTAGTCACCAAAAATTTAAACGGTCGAAAATGTTTCTTCAAAAAACCGTCAAAATAGTGTAGATTGTTTAGCCTACACTGGACCAATTTACTTAAAGTAAATGGTAAATTTATAGAAAATTTCAAAAGCTACAAAATTTCAAAATAAATTTTTTATAAAAAAATATTACAAGTATTTTAAGAGTGTGCGACTTTCGGTTCGTAAGTTTTTTTCAAGTTGGCGAGGGATAGCGTCTCGGGGGTTGTTTGTATAAATCCGAAAACTAGTATACATGCTATTCAAATTATGCTATTTTCTATTTTTTAAAGGTATAAAAGTATTGGATTCCTTATATAAAATCTTAAATTTTACTGGCCTAAAGTATATTAAACTAAAAAAAATAGGCAAAACTACAAAAATATCAAAAATTTAATTAATTTTTTTTATAATATTTAAAACTAATAATAATTATATAATATTTTTTATGAGTCCTGTAGAATCAAAAGCGGATCTCTGCCTTGCTAAGCACAAATAAGTTATCACTGATAACCAATATTACGTATACAGTACCGTAAAACGGGGTTACTTTGGCATCGGGTGTAACTTTGGCACATGAGTCATCTGCATTGTTTTTTTATTTTTTTTATATATGTTTTTCGCGGTTTTTCAGGTTCATTTTCTTGTTACAGGTTGTTACAGGTCTAAACTACTAGAAAAATGCCGCGCCACTACAAAAAGAAAATTGGGGGCCGTACATACGGTAACTACACGCGTTAGCTGCCCTAAGAGGGGAGATTTCAAAAACGTTGTTTTAATTAAGCTAAATTATGATATTTAAAAAAAAAAAATTGCCAAAATCCAATTTAAAATTTTAAAACGGTGCCAAAGAAGGCTTTTAGAGCAGTCTACTTTCGCATTTTAAGCGAAAAAACATATCCTGCCAAAGTTACCCCAAACGTTTGCCTACTTTGGCAGCATATAAACAATTTTTTTTCTCAGTTACCTTTTAATATTTTTTATTCAAATTTTCAGCTTTTACAGCTTTATTGATGTTTGTTACAATGAGATTTTTTCTTGTGGATTATTGGCGAAGGTTTTAGTTTTGTTGTCAAAAATGTCCCAAAATCTGCCAAAGTAACCCCGTTTTACGGTAGTTACCATCTTTTTGCTTAGCACATGTCCACTTATGATACAGGACCGAATATCAATTCGCCTATATGTCATGTTTCAAGGATTGCTAATGATATGTCTAATAATTTAACTTTTTTGGTGTGCACTGGTGTACTTTTAAACACCAATTGAATCAGATATGATATCACAATCAATGGATTGTGTATGATATGTTATTTATATTGATGAATTTATTATGTAATTTATTTATGGTTTTTGTTTTTTGTTATTGAACTTTTTATAAACCTATAAACAAATTTATTTATTGTTACTGTTATTTTGCGTTAATAAAGAATTTATTTATTATTTATATAATATTAAAAAAATCATAAATATATTCTACAGTTTTATAAAATCTGTTCAAGCCCTAAAAATACTGAAAAACTAGAAAATTTAATAAAGCGAAAGCAAAGTTGTGATCGGTTTTAGTGCTTATTGTTAGAACCTATTATTATAATAAATATTATAATAATTATTATTACGATTTTATATCCAGGGTTGATATTGGTGCAAATACCCCGCATTTTTGAATATTTTTTTCTTTATTTTAATTAAATTAATTATGTCCGAATAGTTTTATCAATTTGAAATAAAATGTTATCCAAATATGGTATAAAAATATGAGTACTAGTACTAGTGCTACTGTACTAGTTAATTAATTAATTACCATACGGTAGCATAGGTCTCTATAGACCTAATCGAATGTTATGAAGGTATAGTTCTATAACATTGTATTTGCTAAGTTTTTTGTTCCAAAGTTAACAATTTCTGTAGTTTTATTAGTCGTGGCGAAAGAAAAGATCATTAAGCGAAGTTTAAATAATTAAATTTGCCTACTTGTATGCCTTTTAATTTTAAATAAAATGTGAGTAGGAAATTAACTGTAAAAGTTAGAGTAAAAACGAGATGAGTTTTTACTTACCACATCGGATCGTCCGTATGCGAACCTTCGGTCTTTCTCGTGGTCGCCGAACGTGTCCCAGAGTCGCAGGCTGACATTGGCACTGTCTACGACCTCCCATGAGCGTTCCAGCACGTCCTTGTAGATCCTGTATTGGTCTATGGCCCACACGGTGGGCACATGGGTCGCCAGCAGCTGTGCCAGCGACACCTGTTTGTTGCACGCTCGCGCGCATATCAGCCGAGTCTTGCCGACCGCCGTGTCGCCGACCACCACGCACTTGACCAACTCCTGGTGGGGTTGTTCATTATCCATTCCCCAAGACCACGACTCCGACATCCATCACACCGTGGCCCCCTACAAAAAAACAATATTAATAAATAAAATAAATGAAATAAATAAAATAAATAAAATAAATAAAATAAATAAAATAAATAAAATAAATAAAATAAATAAAATAAATAAAATAAATAAAATAAATAAATAAAATAAATAAAATAAATAAAATAAATAAAATAAATAAAATAAATAAAATAAATAAAATAAATAAAATAAATAAAATAAATAAAATAAATAAAATAAATAAAATAAATAAAATAAATAAAATAAATAAAATAAATAAAATAAATAAAATAAATAAAATAAATAAAATAAATAAAATAAATAAAATAAATAAAATAAATAAAATAAATAAAATAAATAAAATAAATAAAATAAATAAAATAAATAAAATAAATAAAATAAATAAAATAAATAAAATAAATAAAATAAATAAAATAAATAAAATAAATAAAATAAATAAAATAAATAAAATAAATAAAATAAATAAAATAAATAAAATAAATAAAATAAATAAAATAAATAAAATAAATAAAATAAATAAAATAAATAAAATAAATAAAATAAATAAAATAAATAAAATAAATAAAATAAATAAAATAAATAAAATAAATAAAATAAATAAAATAAATAAAATAAATAAAATAAATAAAATAAATAAAATAAATAAAATAAATAAAATAAATAAAATAAATAAAATAAATAAAATAAATAAAATAAATAAAATAAATAAAATAAATAAAATAAATAAAATAAATAAAATAAATAAAATAAATAAAATAAATAAAATAAATAAAATAAATAAATAAAATAAATAAAATAAATAAAATAAATAAAATAAATAAAATAAATAAAATAAATAAAATAAATAAAATAAATAAAATAAATAAAATAAATAAAATAAATAAAATAAATAAAATAAATAAAATAAATAAAATAAATAAAATAAATAAAATAAATAAAATAAATAAAATAAATAAAATAAATAAAATAAATAAAATAAATAAAATAAATAAAATAAATAAAATAAATAAAATAAATAAAATAAATAAAATAAATAAAATAAATAAAATAAATAAAATAAAATAAATAAAATAAATAAAATAAATAAAATAAATAAAATAAATAAAATAAATAAAATAAATAAAATAAATAAAATAAATAAAATAAATAAAATAAATAAAATAAATAAAATAAATAAAATAAATAAAATAAATAAAATAAATAAAATAAATAAAATAAATAAAATAAATAAAATAAATAAAATAAATAAAATAAATAAAATAAATAAAATAAATAAAATAAATAAAATAAATAAAATAAATAAAATAAATAAAATAAATAAAATAAATAAATAAAATAAATAAAATAAATAAAATAAATAAAATAAATAAAATAAATAAATAAAATAAAATAAATAAAATAAATAAAATAAATAAAATAAATAAAATAAATAAAATAAATAAAATAAATAAAATAAATAAAATAAATAAAATAAATAAAATAAATAAAATAAATAAAATAAATAAAATAAATAAAATAAATAAAATAAATAAAATAAATAAAATAAATAAAATAAATAAAATAAATAAAATAAATAAAATAAATAAAATAAATAAAATAAATAAAATAAATAAAATAAATAAAATAAATAAAATAAATAAAATAAATAAAATAAATAAAATAAATAAAATAAATAAAATAAATAAAATAAATAAAATAAATAAAATAAATAAAATAAATAAAATAAATAAAATAAATAAAATAAATAAAATAAATAAAATAAATAAAATAAATAAAATAAATAAAATAAATAAAATAAATAAAATAAATAAAATAAATAAAATAAATAAAATAAATAAAATAAATAAAATAAATAAAATAAATAAAATAAATAAAATAAATAAAATAAATAAAATAAATAAAATAAATAAAATAAATAAAATAAATAAAATAAATAAAATAAATAAAATAAATAAAATAAATAAAATAAATAAAATAAATAAAATAAATAAAATAAATAAAATAAATAAAATAAATAAAATAAATAAAATAAATAAAATAAATAAAATAAATAAAATAAATAAAATAAATAAAATAAAATAAATAATGTGGTTTCAAATATCAAGTTCTATTTAATAAAATAAAATTTTATTTATAAAAATTCACAAATTAATTAGGGTATCAAAATGTTATAAGTGCAAAAAGTATCAAGGCAGTGATTGCGTGCGAAAAAGTGCAACTTTACGAACGGTTAGGCGTGCAGAAAGTAGCAATTTTCTGCACGCTTGTAGAAGATATCCAAGAATGGTTCCAAGCCCATAATCATAACAGTTATAATAAATTTTAAACAATAAAGATCAATACATTTATATTATAAATTATATTTGCCTATAAAACTATCAGTTAGAAATCTATACTATAGCTGAAATGTCATCATTAATTGTAACACAAGTAAACAGCTTGATTTCTTATCGAATTACAACTTTAAAGAAGAAGATAATATAAATTTGATATTGCAGATTATAAAAAAGTTTTAAAACATGATATCAAATCTGTAATAAAAATGCTGTTGAAACCACTTTAACATAGAACATGTTTATTACAGATATTAGTACCGTTAATTTCGTTGTAAAAAACTTTGTACAAAAATTTCAAACAAGAACACACTTTTCGAAAATGCAGAGAATTAACATTAACCAGCCTAAATGACAGAAGTTTTAAAAACTTATTTGAACATTTTCTAGTAATATATCTGAGATATTACAGTACGGAGACCAAATAATAGAGCAAGATTTAATGTTATATATTAATTAACACAAGTATATGAGATGGAGTTCACGAGCACCCTTCTTCGATTGTATAAAGTGCAAAAAACTCTTAGGATCTGATTTAAAGCAAAAGATTAAACTTTAGTAAGTTATGCATTAGAGGCTCCTTGATATTTTCTTAATATTTTAATAGGATATTATGTATTAAGTTTTATGAACGCCATTTTAGTTACGAGTTTTATTGGGCACAAGCGAAGCTTGCGAGCGAGTGTTTAATAAAAACGAGTGTCTGGAGAAGTTTATAAAACGAGTTGCATACTATACTTTATCTACGACGAACACAAAGAAGAATTTAAAGCCAATTGGACGCCTTTCTGCAGAAAGGAACCAACCCACAAAACCAAAAAAATCGATATATTTAGCCTATGAACTAATTAAGTATGTATAATTTATCTGCAAAATAGGTCATAGTCAAAATGCAAGTGTAGTGAAATCTATTAATCATTGAACCAACCAACATTCAATAATAGTGTGGATTACTAATCCAGAATTAGAATCTGTAGAATATCTGCAAGTGGGTTGGATCTTTTTTGTAAAAAAGCAGGCTGGTAGACCCACTACCAAAGTCTTTAAAGATTTCCTGCTTCTGCATAATATAGAGTCTTAATGCATTTTTTTGGTAGCTTACAAGATGAGGTGGGGTTGGAAGATGATGTGGACGAATTTCAAATAGAATCAAAATTAATTAATATTACCATTATAATAGTAATATCAGTTGTATTTTGTTTGGAAATAAATAATTGTCGCTTTTCTTTAAATACATACATACATCAGATAGTAGTTTTCATAAATTGCAGAAAGGAACCAACCAACAAAAACCCATTTTTTTCGTCACCCTTACATAACATCACAAAATCCACCTGATGAAATTATTAAATTATATCCCTTAAACCTCCGTAAGTCCAAAATCGGCATAAAATTACCAGGTAATTTTAAAATTATTAAAATCTTTGATAGCTTTTTTCTCAGTTTCATCATGGTGTGGGTTGGTCCCATTCTGCAGAAAGCCGTCCAATTTTAGTTGTTAAACATTTGACATATGTCAAATGTCAACGGATTTAACCTCACTTTTCCCCAATTTATAATAAAGCTAACTTAAAATTTAAATTTAAGGCAGACATATTTTTAATACGTTTAAACTTTGTATGGTAGTGTTTTGATTTAATGTTATTGATTAATTCAAGTGTATACCATGATGAGTATATTTGTTAAAAACTATTATACAAAGAAACAAATTGATCAAATAAAGAGTAAATAACTGTAAAATTCATTAACAGCATAATTAGGGTCAGTATGGTCCCTAAGAAAATCCCAATTAACATTGCTTTGTTTGATCATATTTTAAATAATTTTGCAAAAATGGCGAATGCGCCGGGATATTTCTTATTTGAAACAAATTAATTTAATGAAGGGTTTTTATTTTTATACGGCTGTATGGTTCTTAATGGAAAACATTACAATTTTAACATTTATTTTTAAGAAATATAAATGTTAATGGCCACGTGGTTGTGTCACTATGTAGTTATTAAAAATAAAACCTTCGTGTATAAACCCCAAACAGTCCAAGCATTTATAATAAAAATAAGCATTTATAAAATAACAGTAAAAAATTTAATTTAATGTGCTTAAACATCCAAAACCTTTAATTACACGTTAAATATTTTGTTTAAAAAAATATAAATACTCCCTTAGATAGAGTTGTTTGGTATTCCAAGAACTATTAAGCCTTTTAATACAAATCTTGGAAGTAATTTAAAACGTAGTTAAATTGTTTTTGTGTTGTTCGTGCCGGTAAATCACGCTATATTTTTCTTTGCATGAGAAATGAATTTCCCTAATTAGTTACGCAGTAATAAAATCGACTGTCGACAAGTCGCAAAGTAAATTTAAAATAATTTTAACTCATCCACTTAAAACACCAAACGCAGAAACGTTTTCGTGCATTATATTTCTCTAAAACACTGCAGTGTACTATATATTAGTTTTTATATTTATTTCACATAAAAAAATTCCTTTATTTATTTTTTAACTTGTCGATATTTTATACCTTTAAATTTATTATTTATTTATTTATTTATTTTAATTACAAATCCAACAGGCTGGTGCCCAATTACAGGATAGGTGAGAATGTAAATATAAAAAAAAAGAAAACAGACAGAAAAAAAAATATAAGTTTTCAAAACAAAC